CAATTTTATTAAATTTAACGGTGTTCTGATAAAGATAGTAAACTGTCTATTCTACAGCAACTGCTTCTTGAGTGTTAAGATTTGAAGTGCCTGATGCAGATAGTTATTCTTGGCCAGTTACATTAATGTATATCATAGGCTTTTGCTTATTTGACCAAGGGAAGTTGCCAGAATGAGTTCTATCACTTATAGTGACTCCATTCTGCAAGGTGCCTTCATAGAATGTGTTGGATGGGAAGACAGTTAATTCAGGGTGCATACGACATTGAACTTACAATCTAACAGGTCTTATTTCCTAATTGTACTAATCTTTCAAACAAACTTCTGTCCAAGCCAACCGAAGCTGCTTCTCTACTCTAAACAACAGGACCCGATTGTCTATGATCTCCTACCAAGATTATAAGTTTGGCTCCCTTTAACATTGGTAATAAGCACTCTGGCTCTATAGCTTGAGTTGCTTCCATAATCAAAACAAATAAGAATCTCATTTCTTTAAGTCTTTTACCACCTTACTCAATAATTTCCTTCTGTGCCTTATCTCTCATTCTTATGAATACTTTTTCATCCATTTAATCTAATTCTCCTTGTTAATCTAACAATTCATAAAATACTTATAATTGATGATATTATGTCCAAACTTCGCACCTAATTGTGCAATGGTAGAAATTCAATATTTGTACTAACACTTTCTCTTGTTTAATACAGATTCTGACAACTTTGACATCCGTTTTGTTAATTTTTTCAGCCAATTAATCAACAACAATATTACCTCTTCTTTTTTGTTTTTCCATAACCTTCACTAATTGATAAACAATAGTGGCACTGGTAACAGTCTTAACAGTTCCAGGTGGACCTTATATCAATGGAGACTTCAAAGCTTTCTTAACTGCATCTGCTTGATAAACATTTAAATCTGGTAGATTTGGAGCAGATAGCTTCCTTGGTATCCATTGCCGTTGGAGGAGCTAAAGTATAGATTCTTCCCAAGATCATCTTATCCAGATAATTACTGGTGGAACTACTTTGTGTAAGAAATATCTTTAATCCTATTTGCATTCTTTTAAATGTTCTAGACACCCTGATACATTCAATTGTATATCATTCCTCTATATTATTAGGAGGAGTATCATTCTGATGTAATTCCAAACAGATTTCCTCATTATTAATTACTTTGATCACAGTTCCTTTAGATTACCAATTGTAATTCCCATTTTTTAAACTCAACATCCCACTTCACTTTCACACTTTTTACTACTTTTCCTTCCTTCACTTACTTATCTTGCTCTTCTTCCAATTTGACTAGTGGTGAAAATACTTGCTGATAGTGATTAGCGTCTTTGTATCGCAACTACACTTCCTTTAGTTATTGATTTGGACCTTTTCTATCCAAATCTTCAAATTTCAATCCTTCTTTTTTCTTCCTTTCCTCCTCATACTGATTTATACGTTCCAAAGTAACCGTACGGGCTAAGATCATCTCTATAATGAATAACATTTATTTTATCTCCCTAACCCAATAACCATTCCTAAATACTCTTTTCCTTGATTAGTGGCTAATAATCATTTGAGTCCCAATTGTCTCAATGGGAGACAGCCTCGGTAAAGAATCAAAATGTTTCTTCTTCTTCCACCCTCACTAAAATTACTCAAATACTATCTGTACCATTCACTAGTCCAAGAGTGAACAAACTTTTCTATCCACAACCATAACACTCGATAATTGTTATTTCCACTTGTTTTTGCTACGCAAACTTATTTAACTGTGCTTATTCTTAATCAAGTGGAGTATTATGTGTGATCCGCTCTTTGTTGCACTTTTGCAGTACCATCTCTTGCATGTTAAACATTGTGCAACAGCATTTACATCAGATTATAAACAATTACTAAATAATAATCGCTCGACTGCTTACTCGTAAGAATGTTCAGCTATTTGAATTTGCTACTCCGTCGTTCTTCTAAATTTTCCAATTGTTTCTCCCATAAAGCTCTTTAAACAAGATCAAATATTTATTATTTAATTTAAATACTATTAAAGAATTTGAGACATTACAAATATTTTATATTAACCTTTTATAATTTGAGATATCTATTGACCCAGTTAAAATAAAACCTATTTAAAGCAATACACATATTTCATAAGAATTTAAGATTCTTAGAATTATACCGTAAAATCTATTTTCAATTAATCAAAAAGCTTTCTATATTTTAATTTAAAACCCATCTTTAACTTTGTAAATAAATATCTAATATTTTCTAAAATAATTATATGGATCTTTCTTAGGGCTCAAATCAAACAGCCACTGTTGATTACTCTTATCTCCTTTAAGTCAAGGATCCTAACCAAAATTTTGTACATTCCATCTTAGAGACAACCATTTTTTAAATACAATCAGATTTTTCTCTTAAAAAAAAAAACCCTCATTACAATCAAATAGCACAATAAAACTTTCATATCATACTT